TTTTTTAGCTTATGTAAATCTCTTACTGCTAAAAGTTTGCCAAAGAAAATTTGTAGTCGCATATAAATTCGTTTATCGGTCACGTTCGTAACTGTAGTACAATTTGTCTGAAAATTTCCATAGTGAAATGTATTTGCTTTGTTTTTACATGCGAACGCACGTCGCCTGTCTGCTGATTACGCTCTCTACTGTTACCGTCATTCATTTGCGTCTACGCCAACCCACTCAATCTCGTTTATTATGTACGTGCAGCGGTCGAGCAACGGAGCAGCCTGCCTCTCGCTTTTTAAATTTGAATATTTCGCTTCGTACATTACTTTGTCATTGTTGCAAATTAATATCTTATAGTGAGTCTATGATAACAGATTACAAATGTCACAATATATTTTACTTCGTTATGATTATTCCCCTCCTATCGCAGCATAAATTTACTATACAGATAGATATTTACTATACATATAAATTTTGAATATATCGTACGAAAATGAAATTATTACAAAAATACAGCGAGAAATAGTGAAATGTTCTTGCCAATAGAATTTAACGTGTTAGTTTCATTTGAGAAAATTTATTTGCTTTGTAACGTGTGCTAAACTCAAATTAAAATCAATCACTAAAAATCAACATTCGAATGACGTGTTAGCGGCATTACAAAAGCTATACACTTAATAGGTAAAACCAAAAGGACATTTTAAAGCATCCCCTTTCTTGTGCTATGGGTGCGGCGGCATATTTCTCTACAGTCATTCATCGCGTCGACGTAAAGTTGCATAAATAAATAACTCAAATTAGAGCCCTTCGCGTTTCTTGCGTACACTGAATACCCGTTCCTCTCGTTGAGTAATTCCACTCCCCTTTGTGCTCCAACAAAACGCTTGAAATTTAACTGACTACCTAAGATTTTATCTTGAAATATGTTTTTGGAATCCTTGATGATGCCGGTAATTGATGTAAAACAGTTAGTAGAGATTTCAACTGTTTTGAATAAGGCTCTTGCATTTAATGTAATAATGTTTTTGACAGATTATTACATTTATATTGAAGTAATCAATGAACAAAATAATATCATCTCAAATAGTAGATATATTATTTTGTCACATTCCATCAATTAAAAAAAATATCCGTTAAACTGGTACATTAGGTTTAAATTGCATACTTTTTTTATTTTCCGTTTTATATTATATAACGTTTAATCGTTTTATGTATTAGATTATATACTTAGGAAAATAAAAAAAGTATGCAATTTAACAAATACGTTGAATAGAACATTATTAGGTATATTTAAAGTTATCATCTCCATGACCACTTAGCATTTTGTCTATGGGCGTCTTACCCAGAGATATACAAAGAAATAAAATTACTATTGCTTGGCTATTATTTTACACTAATCTATTTTTTGTATATTTAATGCAGATAAAAGTATTTTTACTTTTACATTATTAAACCAATACGGTACCAGGACCATAATGTACGTTACATACAATTGACGTACGGGTCCCCTCAGTCCGGGTGCTGTGGAGCATTCGGTACATTCATTACATAAAGCGTCACATCGTGGAATCGGCCGGTTTAATAATTCCTTACTCGGGTTCCCCAGGCGCCGGTGGCCCGCCCGGTCGAAGCGAGACAATGCTCGCTTGCCTAACGGCATCAATCAACATCAAACAACCCCGTTTATCTATACGCACTGCTTTAGGGTTCCGAATTTCAAGTACCCCATATTTTTCAATGGTTGATAGTGTCGTAAAAACCGACGATTAATAAAGTACCTTATGTATTTTATATTACTGTTTATCGCGTAATTTATTTCACCTTTCCGTGAATTGTGATCGTAAAACCTTTTAGAGTGTCAATGACATAGTTTTGTTTTGTGTCATAATACCTACCAAAATAAACAAGCTATTTACATAATACGTTATAATTTACATTAGTGTGGGATATGCGTGATAATCGTGTAACACCTATAATTTAACATGCCTCGTGTTCTCGATTATATTTTTGAGTACAATCTGGTGTCAATAGCACTAGCCGGGGGCATGTATACCCTTCTCAATCATCCGTACATATATTAACGTTCAGTCTCACGTCGCTTTGATCTGCAGTAAGCTCTATGATGTTAGCTATGACCCGTTGATCAATGGGGTTTCCTAACCAACTGACTGTGCAAAGTATACTTAATTACAGTATAATTACACGCACTTTATACTTCATGGTATTGAAATTTAGACAAGAAATTAAGTAATATTTTTCTCAATATTGAGAAAATGTCCGTAAGGATTTGATAAAATGAAATAGGAAACATCAAATTATAATTATTCTAGTGTAATAAAAGTTAAGTATCCGACAAAAACAAAAATCGTGTATTTCAGAATTTGAATAAAGTATTACTTTTCATACGTACATATGTTTATAACACTCCGAACATTTCAAATTACGTTAGCATATTAAATAATATTTAAGACGGATGTGTAATAGAGAAAAAATATATATTTACCATTTTCTTCTCGGAACAATTCCATATGAAAATGCATTTTATTTTTTATATGGAGTGACATATGAGCAAAAATAAAGATATTTACGGCTATGGGTGTGTCACAATTTCCAATGTCAAGAAGATATTACGGAGCATTGGTTGCGAATTCGATAATATTGCATATGCCTATTAATAGAAAGGAATGTTAAGCTATTATTAACATTGAATGTGCTATTTTGTCACAGTCACATAAACACACGCCTAGTCACTATGAAAACAATTAATTTAAAATCATTTACGAAATTTTATAAAGAAGTCGATTACAAGAACGGTAAAGATAACCAAGTTCCATTACAAACTAAATTACCTCGACTCTTACAAACAAATCTTAGTTCACTATTTTAAATTTATTCACGGTTGTTTACAATTGTTCACGTTATATAAACGGGCTATTTAATGTAAATATTATTTATGAGATCCCCGATATTTGGACGCTGAATTATCATAGTTATCTAATATATAATCCCGTTTATAGGAATATGTATGCAAAACTTAATTAGTTCATTTTCATATACCAATTTAGTATAAAATTTCTACAAAATTCAGGACTCTACACAGAACAGAACATGGATATTTGAAATTTCGCCGGCCTTTCCACGTCACCACCCTCTATAGCAAGCATATGGAAATTTAGTCCCTGAACGTGAAAAATTGCAAGAACGCTGTCTGGCAAAATACAATTTAATTTCCAGCACATTTGTTTATTCGAATATTTTCTAGCATTTCGTTGATATATATTATTGATTTATATGTGAGTTATAAATTAATAATTTGGTTTCGATCCTTCCGTTTTTGGGTTCTTAGTATAAGTAGTATAGCTATTGGATGGAATTCCGCTTCAAAGTTTAAAGTTTAACCAATATATTCGATACATTAAGTCAGTTTCTATAAATGCATACAACCATCACGATACAATAAGATAATGACAAACGGAATAAAAAAAAGACTTAATAAAGTAAGAGTTCAGATTTCAAAGACTATACACTTATTGTGAATGTTTATGTAGATTTAAATAATATAAGTTCAAATTATGACATAGTCATAGAAAATTACAATATAGTCACATTGTTTTTTTAGCATTATACACAGAAGGAGAACGAAAGCACTTGGATTGGTCAATAAATATTTTTATTTTATACCTTCTGTCGTAAACACGACAAACGAGACCAAAATAATATTCAATTCCTTTTTCCATTTCTTGCCTATTACAATGCATAGTTTAGTCTAAAATTAAATACATCTTTAAAATTGACACTTTGGCACGAGTTTTTCATTTCAATATAAAGATTTTCAAGATAAAACCTAAGATATTATATAATTAAATGAAATAAACAAAACGAACTAACAAACATAGCCTATGTTGTTTTCAAACAACGTTTTGTACATCGCCATTTACGTGAGTAAACGCCTACATTATTCGCCCATTAGTGTACAACAGCATCTTACACTGAAACGTGCTTTGTCATCAATAGCTTCACAAAACAATGAAATAAGCTATAATATACGAATAATAAATCCTATATTATTGTAATACTAATAATTATAATAAGAAATATTTAAACAGTATTTTTTACTTGTTAATTAATATAATCATCATCATCTGCTTCTTCCTTATCCCATTTATTTGAGGTCGACGTAATATGTTTGTAATAATATTTATAAATAAGTATTTTTTAAATACCTTAATCATAGAACATGATACATACTAAGAATCTACGTCTAATCTAAAAAAAATATTTGGACTTCATATTTTGTTACTAAAACTTTTAAATATTACTTTTCTATCAACGGCAAAATTTTCACTGTTAGTTTAATAAGAATCCTATTATGGTTAATGTTTTAGCTCTTTACTTTTAAAAGTAAAACTGAACGAAACATATTTTGATTTAATTTTAAAATTCATTCATTATCATTTAATTTTTAACCATAATATACTCATATTCTTTTAATTATTTTGCATAGATTATATACCACACGCAAATATGAATTTTATTTAGGTGAACGGTTAAGTTGATAGCGTTTTAATACGCGACTTGACTCATCGACTGTCATGATTGATCGCAGCCTTCCCACCGTACACTTCATTCAAATGTTAATGACCATTTGAGTCGAGATAGCACTATAATCTGTCGCATAATTTGGCGATTATAAGAGCATAAAGTTCCCATTAGTCTTGCCAGACTGTTATAATATTAATTAGTGCTATATTGTATATTATTTTAAAATATTAAATCCTGATTTATTCTTGTAATTTACTATTATAGAAATAAATAGAAGCGGACCTATAGCTTAAAAGCGAGAAAAACGCAGTAAGCCCTTATTTTAATAGTATTCATCAGACCGCAGAATTGAAAATTAAATATGGCTACAAACGTTAAATAGAAATCTATTTATCAGAACAAGCCTGCGTGAAACATCTATGAAAGTACCACCTACCGCGAAAGAAGTGGAATATAAAAATACTTACTGAGTCAGGATCATGGGCATTGGGTGTGGACGGCTGAGCGGGCCTTGGCGGTGGTGGATAACCCTGTGAACAAGATAATACGCTTTACAAAAAACCATAGTCGCCAATTTGTTAGGAGTGGAGAATTTTCCAAGAATGTTTTCATGGCCAAACGAAAATAGCAAGAAATAATTGAATCGCAGACCACTCAAGTGATTATAGTAGGCTGTATTGTTGCAGACACTTCGCGGTCATAGCATTGGAACAGTCACCAGTCGCGATAGGCAACTATTTAATTAAAACTGACGCCGACCATAGTACGGGACGTGAGTTAAACTGACGTTTTAATCATATATTCCTGTCTTCAGGTCTTTTAAAGTATATTTTTATACCTTATCAACTTTTTAAAGGATAGCTAAAATGAGGTTTTAAGTTATTTCCTATGTAATTCACACGCTGAATTTCTTTTTTTCTATTTTCTTTCATTCCTTTTTGTTACGAGAAATTAATAATTGAAACGATAAAGTATAAGTCGGAATTGCACACAGAGAGTTTCAAATAAATTAAGAACACTTTTACAAAAGTTATATACTGATTTGTCTCAGTAACTTCTTCTTCTGTCTTGCAAATATCCAACCGGTACCCAAAGGAGGTGATCGAGCAAACCCTTCTAACTATCGTCCCATTGCTATACCATCCGTAATTTGTAAAGTTATGGAGCGTATATTAAATAACCATCTTTTAACGTACCTAGAAGGCAATGAGCTCCTCAGTGATCAACAGTACGGATTTCGAAAAAACAGATCTACTGGCGACCTCTTTGTGTACGCTACGCATCAATGGGGAGAAGCTATTGAGAAATATGGTGAAGCTCTTGCTGTATCTCTTGATGTTTCCAAGGCGTTTGACAGGGTTTGGCACGATGGACTTATAAGCAAACTTCCCTCCTTTGGTATCCCTAATAGTCTTTGCTGCTGGGTTTCGAACTTTTTAAAAGATCGTTCGATAAGGGTAGTCATTGACGGCTGCTCTTCTGACCTCTTTAACATCAATGCCGGGGTGCCTCAGGGGTCCGTTCTTTCCGCTACATTATTTTTGCTATATATGAATGATGTGCTTAAACCCGGAATCCTGGGGTATGCTGACGATAGTACTATTTCAGATAGGTACCTGCTTAATAGTAGTGCCGGGGGGGCAGAGTTGAATTCCCAACGTCAGAGTTTGATTAGGCGAATAGATCAGAAGCTACAGACGGTATCTGACTGGGGTGATGCCTATTCTCATGAGATTTAATGCTATAAAAACCCAAGCTTGTCTTTTTTCCACTAAAAATAACCCCTTTAACCTATCTCCAACTTTTCGAAATGCATCTGTCCCGGTTTCTGACCATCTCGATCTTCTAGGTTTAACAATATCATCCAACCTAAATTTCGGGGCATATATTGAATCTAGAGCTAAAATGGCATCAAAAAAACTGGGCGTCCTCTCAAGGGTTAGAAGATACTTCACGCCTGGACAGCTTTTAACGCTATACCAAGCACAGGTCCGATCTTGCATGGAGTATTGTTCCCACTTATGGGATGGATCCGCTCAGTACCAACTTGACGCTCTAGACTCAATCGACAGACGAGCAAGGAGACTTATCGAGGACGAATCACTTGTAGCTAAGAGGCTTCAAAGTCTTAATCACCGACGTAAAGTAGCTTGTCTATCGGTGTTCTATAGGCTCCATTTTGGCGAATGTGCTCAAGAACTGCACAACCTCATTGCTCCAGCACCGTTCCATCAACGTACAACAAGACGTAGAGAGCGGCTCCACCCCTACACTATTGACATCCCAGCTGCTCGAACTAACCGTTTTGCATCATCTTTCCTTATGCGAGCAGCTAAGGAGTGGAACTCTCTACCAGCGTCTATTTTTCCTGCCTCTTACAACATTGGGTCTTTTAAGTCAAGAGTGAATAGGTATTATTTGAGCTTGCGTGTAACAGCTTAGACCACATCATCACTTAACATCAGGTGAGATTGCGGTCAAACGCGCTCAAATTATAATATATAAAAAAAAAAAGTAAGTAACTGTAAAAGCACTATATGATAAACAAAAAAATGCACACACAATATCAATATATTTTTTAGAAATTTAGAACACAGTCTCAGATAATATCTATTTCAGGACTACTTCTATTTCTACAACTTTTTTATATTATTTATGTTTAATATTGTCTATTATTTTATATAGAAAAATGTTATATTGTCATTCTTATTTTTCCGTGATCTGCTTTACTTTTGAGACGTACAATTATACTATATTCCTTCTTAAAAAAACCGTGTTTCCATAATTATATTTATTAGCTTAATACAAATACAGTCCCATCGCTCACAATAGTAGTAGGGTATTCGGGTCTTCATACAAACGAGCATGACAAAAAGTTCATTGGCTTAAACTCAAAGTAAGTTCCAGCAACAGCAATGTAAGCCGAACGCTAGGCTTCAAACTCGGCCCGCAACCGAAGCGCTAAAATCAAAGTTTGAAAGCCGTTGGTATATATTTTCATACTTAATAAATAGGGAATATAATGCAAAATTTCCAAATTCTACCAGTACTTTAGTTACCATTGATAACTTGCGCTATAAGATCTTAATTTACTTAAAGAGAAATTGCCATCTTACAAAATAAAAGTACACAAAGATCAAAATACCTAATAAATAAGTAATTTAAATACAATATTAGATATTATTAATTTTAATTAAATCATTACATGGTATAAAATAAAAGCGATGTCGCTGTCTGTCCGTCGCTATGTATGCTTAAATCTTTAAAAGTACGCAACGGATTTTGAAGCGGTTGTTCTAAATAGATAGTGATTCTAGCGGAAGGTTTATATATATAATACATGTACACCCGTGCGAAGTCGGGGCGAGTAGCTAGTATTCAATAAACCACAGATGCCATTTTGAATAAAACTACTACGAAGATAACCATTCTAAGAAGTGAAACTTACAATATATCTTAGAACAAACACATTTAAATGATATCCTTTGGCCGGTAATTAGTTAATTATTTAGTTAAGTGACATACATATAAAATAGGATCTATGTATATATATATATACATATATATGATTTTAGCAGTTTATAAATAATACTTTAACACACCTATATACTATTTATATTTCATTACATAATTCAGTCTTAACGCTAAACCTTTAACGCTAGGCAAATCGTAAAATTAAGTGACATAACAAAAAATAAACTTCACACATATATAGTATAGGTCAGTCAGTCTAGGCACTCCTTCCCGCAGTAGGAAAACGCATCCTTTCACTTTTGCATTGTATATGTGTTTCCGTCATCCTTTCATCCGACATTCTTTCCATATGTGCTCGAACCCAACGTAACATGTCCTTTCTTGTTTTTACACCGACAGTTTCATTACCAAGTAACCAACTCGCTCTCTCTATAACCATATTAATGTAAGTATTAGTTTATCCTAGGACAATACCCGCGTGAATTCGGATGAAAAGTATCCTGTGTTATTTACGATACGATCTAACTGTGTATTATACTGAATTGGAAACCAACCAGTACTTTTGCTTGAACAATAATAATAGGCATAAAACACCCATCCTCGGTAGTATAAACACTACTATATTAAAATAGGATATTTTTATATAGTATACAAATCTCACTTAACGGTGTAACATTCGCCTATTGTAATTTTCTATTTCTCCTTTTTATATTATACTATATTTCATCTCTCACTCATGACTTCTATTTTTTCGTAAAAATTACGTTACTTTAGGTTTAAAGTTGAACATTTTAGTGTGAACATTAAGGTTTTAATATTTTGAGTAGAAGTAATGTCAGCACAATATTGTTCTGACAATCCTGTTGAAAGTAAATTCCAACTGTTTTTCCCGAATCCTTAGCATATACAATAATATACATATCTTATAAAATGTCTGTTAATAAATTCTAACTTCAGCTCTGCACACTACATTGAACTTGTAGAAAAGCTAAAGAATAATACAGAATTTAAAGAGAAATAAGAGACTGGCTACATTTTAGTGTAAAAGAAAGGCACTGTTTGTTCAACAGTGCATTTATTTTGAATTTTCGAGAGAAAACTTTGCACGCTGATATATTTCAGTTGTTACCGGTGAAGAAACGGTAGCCGCGACTTCTAACTCATATTCATAAGGTGAAAATTTAAAAAATAATATTTCTTTTAATGCACAAACTAAACGAAAATTATTATATATCTTATTTACTCTCCCTACTGCTCTATGCCAACATTATGTCTATGTGGTACTACTCGTTTAAGACTTGAGATTTGTTTTTCTTTTATATTAATTATATTTCCATTCTGTTCTTCTTTATGTTGAAGCCATCTCGTAGTCAGAATACATGTCACTACATTACTGATGTACAGACACCCTTAACCACCAAAATTATGTTGGGAAGTCATTATCATCGTATTTCAGTTAGAACTCACGCCCGTATGGGGTATGGTCATAGAGGACCTATGTTTTATATAAAAACTATATATACGCTGTGGAAGTTTAGTAGCTCCTAGAATTTGGTGTTAGGGCTGGTATAAGCGAATAGACAAAATATCTATCTGATAGCTGAGTCTGGTGTAAATGCGTTTATGGTATGTGATAACCGATAACAATCAGGAATAATATATACTTAGTTGTTAGTACTTGATTGCTAATTCAGTAGTGTTTAAATATTGTAGCGTACAACAATGTGATTTTATTAAATGCAATTAAATATAATCTTTCACACATAGACAATTTACATAGTAATATAATTAATTAATCTATATTGATAGTCAAAATATGACAGTTAAGATGGATTTGGAGTAATAATATAAAATAAATGCATTTGAGAATATAAATGAATGTATACTGAATGATTTTTATTATTTATTTTATTTATATTATTTAAATAAGCCATAGCTAAAAGTTCAAGGGTAAAAGTTAAAAACAGGGCACCAATCTATTTAATTGTATACCATCGACACAAGCTTTGTGCCAAACCAAGAAAACTTCAATGGAATCACATTGTTCCCAGCCTAT